CCAGGCAGTGCTGGCTTGTTAACTCTCAATAAATCCTTTTTTAAGTTTTGGAAGTTTGGCTCGAGACTCATGATTTAAATCGGGGGTAACTGCTGGAATCCTGACACCGAGTCCTTCTTTTCACTAGGCTAGACACCCCCAATTCCTGCAACCATTCTTCGTACGCTTTAGCGTGTTTTTTAGACCATTTATTTGCTGCAAATAAAGGTTTCTTTATCATGCACTGAGCATCGAAACCGGAGGAGCAGGTAAAATGTGCAAACTTGTTCACAGCTAAAAAGTTGTGCGGTGCCTTTGTGTGTGTGTGTCTTGCAGCAAGCAAAGAAACTCCCATCCCAAAACACACACCTGTACAGAGAGAGTTTCTTTAGGCCACAAACTGCCCCAGATCCACTGCAGGTAGCTGAAAAGGACGATGACGCTGAGGAACATGAAGTTGCTGGCTACTCCCAAAATGGCCGACGTCACAGGGAAATTGTAGAGGAGATACCTGTGGGGCCAAAGACATGAAAAATGATGGGTTATAGAGTTCACCTTCCTGTATCTCAGTATCTCAATCCTTCAGTTTCAGCCTTAGTCGTCAAATTTTGTTTTCCTTGAATGCTGTGACTGGCCTTCTCTCTAACTTCAGAGAAATGGTCGCAAGTCGAGGATTGTCTATATGCAAATAATTTATCCACACCTCTGGTCTACTGGATAGCTCTCCATCCCACCACCCCTCAAAAGGCTCAAGAGAAGAACCAGCTCTTCAAGTCTCTTTCAAATCTTAGCAGGGAAGAATCGGTCTGGAAATCTAGAAATTAACAGGGTGGATATTCACGTTGACTCAACAGATGAGATTTGAGCAATTCACAGCTATTGCAACACCTGTGTCTGTGACTCTAAAAAGAGTTTTTTTAAAATTTTATTTTAAAAATCTCCTAAAATTTGGTCGGATTTGCCTGGCAACCCTAAAGTTCTCCTCCATTTCCAATTCAAACCAGAAAATCTTCCCCCTCCTTTATCGCTTTGCGTGGGAAAAATAAGAATTTTCTCCTTTCCCAGCCATTCAACGTTGAGTCTTTCTCTCTCTCTCTCTTACCGCAAACCAGTGAAATGTGCGTGAATTCTAAGGTGTGCCCCATAAATCTGAATTCTAGTCGTTTGGATTTCAATCACTGCCCCAACGGTGGGAACATACTAAAAGGAAAGAGAAAAAATAAATTAAACACAGGCGAGACTGCTTCCCCCCCACTGCTTGTTATGTTTACTGTCTCAATTTATTGACCAATCACAGGGGCTACGAATTAGAGGAGACAAATTCCATGCTCAAACACTCTCCCAGTAGTCCTTGACTTACGACCACAACGGAGTCCAAAATTTCTGTTATTTTAAGTGAGTTTTAAGCCCTATTTTACAGCATTTCTTGCCACTCTTATTGTCTAAGCTGAGCCAGGATTCACAGGGATCTTCTAGTGGAAGATCAGGGTCCCCTCTAGTGGAAATTCAAGGATCAAGCAATTAAAATTTGTTTTAAAAAAAATAGTATCACAGAATCTCACTAAGCTTTAAGGTGGGTGGACATCAATTCCCAGAATTCCCCAGTTAGCATGCTTTAAGAGGGGTGGACTTCGACTCCCAGAATCCCCTAGATGGATGAATTCCCCAGCCAGCTTTTAAGAGGGGTGGGCCAGAGAATTCTGGGACTTGAAGTCCACACGTCCTAAAGTGGCCAAATTGAGAAACACTGAATTACAGCATTGCAACACAAAATAATTCAGACTTCCCCAGCCTGACACACACAAACACACATACACACACACACACTTCCAGAAGTGCCGGATTTCAACGCCCACGGGCCAGATTGACAAATCACAAATCCAACGTGTCAGGACAGCTCTAAACCAACATGTTGATTTGATCTCAACAGAGACCAGAGATCAAATCTCCGCTCAGCCGGTTATTTATTTTTTTTAACCTACGGGAGCCTAGAGCGGGTCAGATAAAACAGAGCCTTCTTTGATAATGCAGCTAGTCCTCAACGTCCAACGTACCAAGGAGTCCCACATTTAGGTCACTAAGTTGAGACATTTGTAAAAGGACTTTTGCCCCGTTTTACGACCTGTCGGGCCACCCCCCCCTGTGATTAAGCGAATCACTGCTGTCATTCAGTGAGTCACATGGTTGTTAAGTGAAATCAGGTTTCCCCATTGACTGTGGCTGGTTATAAATATGAGCCAGTTGCCAAGCATGGGGAATGCTGCAACGGTTGTAAGTGTGAAAAACGGTCACAAATCCCTTTTTCTCAGTGCTGAGGTAACTTTGGCCACTAAAACCAAACAGCCGTAAGTTGAGGACTGCCTGTACAATGAAGCAACGAAGGCGGCTTATAACATCATTGAAAGATACAGGTGAGTCCCCAACTTATGACCATTACAGCAACACAGGAAAAGGGGACTTAGAATCAGTCCTCGCACTTGTGACCATTGCAGCATCTCTGCAATCAAAATTTGCGCAACGACTGGCAGCATCTCAGGGTCACGGGGTCACCGTTTGTGGCCTTCCCCAGCTGGCTTCCAACAGCCAAAGTCCATGGGGGGGGGGGGGGGAGCCAGATTCGCTTAATGACCACATGATTCATTTAACAACTTTGATGATTTGCTTAGAACCGTGGGGCAAAAAGAGGTGGTTGTTGTGGTTCGCTGGCAGCTGGCAGTGGCATTGGACAGTGGGGAAGAATGGGGACCACCAGTCCAGGAGTCTGGAGAGGACTCGGACGAGGGTCCTGCGTCCGATGCAGGTATGGGGCCAGGACCATCTGGGAGTGGGGTGCTGACTCCGGAGCCTTTGGAGTCTGGCAGCAGCAAGGCAGAGGAACAAGGGGAGCCTGTTCCCAGTGTGCGTATGCACAGAGCTGCTAGAAGGCAAGAGCAGCTGAGACAAAAAGGGCGACTCGGGAGTAAGGCTGGGAGGTGATTGCCCCTCCCCTAAGGGATAAAAGTCAGGCCAAGATGACGAAACCTTTGCAGGAAGCAAAGTCGTTCGATCAGTTCAGAGTCACTCTTGAAGTTCTTTGCATTTTGGTTGGGGGTTTTTTTGTACTCCGGTTGGTTTCTTTTCTAGTTCATTTGATACTTGTTTTTGGCAGCACTTCATGGAACTGAAAGGTGGGTGCTTATCTCGGGGGACTGTTTGAGATTAATGGGAATGAAAACAATTCCCAGCGTTGCAATAAACGAAGTCTCGTTTTTAAAATAAGTTTGTGGGTGATTATGGTTTTAGGAAGCCTGAATCAGAAAAGTTGTATAATCAGGTTGGACTCCTATTGCAACTGCCTTGGTTGGTTAGCCAGGGAAATTGCAGACTCATTTGTGGTCGTAATCTCGAGGACTAACCATAGTCTGTTTCTTTTCTTTTTTTTAAAAGGTTTTTTTTTTAAATTTTATTTTAAATATAAACAATTCGCCTTCCATTTAACCGTGTATCGCCTGGGTACAAATATCTTGTGCAATCAGAATTAAAATTTGCAACCGTATTCATTGCTTTGATATTAATTCTCTATGCTTATCTTATTGACAGACATAAAATCTCTATCACTGTAACGTAATGGTCTGTTTCTTAATATCGGCATTGGAATAGGGGAATCTCGAAGGATCGGCATTCAGAGTTTTTAAGAGGATCTCACCGAATCTTCTTTGTAATCAGAGTACAGTTCAACGTCCACCGTTTGTTTCTGTTCTGTAAACCCAGCTAGGAAGAGGCCGGAGAAAGCCAGCGTGTCGAGCATCTGTAACAATCCCGAACGGTAGTGCAACATGGCCTAAAACAGGAAGGAAATTCACCAATCAGAGGTCAACAATCCACGAATTACAGAGTCTTTTCTGATTTCGATAGAAGTGTATTTGTGGCTAGCACTGATGATGTTACCTAGTTGGGTCAAGAAACGTCTGCAAGAAAGCCACCAAGCTCAGAGAGCCCCAAAGACCCCACAGTTCAACCCTGAGCTACAAGGATTCTCTTCTGTCCAATCCACTTGCATATAAACAGAGAGAACCCAATTCCCTTCTAGCACTGATGATGTTACCTAGCTGGGTCATGAAATGTCTGTAAGAAAACAACCAAGCTTAGAGAACACCACTATCATTTCTGAATTAGCAATATTTCACCCCTTCTCATTGTCCCAGACGAAACCACACAACCCAATACAGGTCAGAGAGCCACGTAAATCTCCGTTCTCACTCAGCAAACCCAGTTCCATTGAGTTCAAGCAAATAAAAGGTGGTTTATTGCAAGGTGTGAACCAGGTTTGAGACGCTTGTACAGGACTAACTTAAATATAAATAATATCTATGAGCTATTTATCTCTCTTTCAGGCAGAAAACTGAAACATCAGAGGCAGTTGGGTCTAGTGGTTAAGGCACCAGGCTAGAAATCTCGAGGTAGTGAGTTCTAGTCCAGCCTTAGCCATGAAAGCCAGTTGGGCAACTTTAGTCCAATCACCAGGTGATGGGGAGTTCTAGTTCTGCTTTAGGCACAAAAGCCGGCTGGGTGACTTTGGACCAATCACTAGGTGACAAGGAGTTCTAGTCCTGCCTTAGGCATGAAAGACAGCTGGGTGACTTTGGACCAATCACTAGGTGACAAGGAGTTCTAGTCCTGCCTTAGGCATGAAAGCCAGCTGGGTGACTTTGGGCCAATCACCAGGAGACGGTGAGTTCTAGTCCTGCCTTAGGCATGAAAGCCAGACCTTGGGCCAGTCTTTCTGTCTCTTCAGCCCAACCCACCTCACAGGGCTGTTGTTCTGAGAAAAAAATAGGGGAGGATAGTTGGGTATATTTATCACCTCGACTTTCTTGTATGAATAATAAATATGGGATACAATAAAATAAGAAATACAAAACTAAACAAATTCAGGGCGTAGAATAAAAGGACTGCCGTCTGTATCTCAGCCGAGGGGGTTCCGAATTTTTGTTCAGGATTCGTTTCCTCCGCAAATATTTGGCAAAAGAAGTTTTGCTGTCAAGTTTCACCTCCCCTTTGGGGCACTTCAAAGAGGTTCCAGTCATCACTCACCCGCGTGAAATTAATAAAGGGATGATTTATCGAAGCGCGCCACCCGAGAGCAGATCAAAAAAGCCAGATCCTGTCCATCAAAAAATAATAATAATACCAATAATCATCATCTAATCCCTCTGAGAATCTCTCAATCCTTACAAAATCCCAGACTTACAGCCCGAGCGGAAGAAGAAATGATCCGGCCTCCTTTGGTGTAGCAAGAAATCACCACCATGAACATGCCTAGATTCTGGTTGACCGGTGATTCGGGTAATTCCAACTCCAAAGACATGCGGTAAGGTTGGCCGTACATAAGGACCTGCTGGGAAGAAGAGAATGATCTTCAATGTTTATTTTTAATCAAAATTTTTTTTATTTCAATCTACATATAAGAATTAACATTAACAGTGTGGCATCAATATATCATACATCTCTCATTGCATATATTCGCATTCATTTATAATTCTTCAATGTTTATTTGCAACCTTTCAAAACTCTCTCCAAATGCCTACCACCATATCAATTAAACATACCTAGTAATTCCATTGTTCAATTTTCTGCCTGTTTTCATTTTATTTTTTTAAATAAAAAATTCTCATTTGACAAGCAGGGTGGTTCCAGGTTTCACATCTCAATACAAACATGACCATAGTTACCTGTTCATTTTGTTTAATTTCATATTGCATCGTCCTTATTATTATTAAATATTAAGCTTATCTTATCCAATCCCAATTCATGGTCTCATATCTTATTTTACAATGTTATTTAAAATTCTCATCTCAATTCTGAGAATGGTCTTCCTTTGTGCCGGTCACTCAATGTCCCGGTTATCGCCCGGTTAGACTACTGCAAGACGCTCTTTGTGGGGCTGCCCTTGAAGACTGCAAGGAACCCTCGACTTACAAACCATTCATTTAGCGATCGTGGGAAGGTACAACGGCCTGAAAAAAAGTGACTTGGGATTGTGGTTCGCAGTCAGGAACTTTCCAGCATCCTCCCCACGTGATGAAAATTAAGTTGGCTTGGCAGCTGGTTCGTATTTATGACCGTAGTGGTATCCCACTTTTTACGACCTTCTGACAAAGCAACGCCGACGGGAAAGCCAGATGCACTGAACCACCAAGTGAGTAACTTATCAACTGCAGCAATTCACTTAACAACGACAAAGCAGGTGGTAAAATGAGGCCAAATTCCCTCAACAAATGTCTCACTTAACGACAGGAATTTTGAGCTCCACTGTGGTCGTAAGTCAAAGACTACCTGTATTTACAGTGACCAATCCTCGTCTTGAGGCCCCCTTACAGCATTCCCACGGTCATGTGAATAAATACACTGCAACTGGCATGTTATTTGATGAGTTGTAACACCTCAGGGTCCCAAGATCACCATTTAAGACGCTCCCCAGCTGCCTTAAGCGAAGCCGGGCTCGCTTAACGACCGTGTGTTTAGCAACACAAATGTGAGTGGGTCAATTCAACAGGTATTGCATGGGTCGATCCACTCCACCACCTTAATTGCCAGGCTGCACCCAACAGGTGCAGCAGCCGAGATAAAACCCTGCACCGAGAATTTCAGGCCTGATCTGAATTTCAGCTCGTTTCTGATGCAATAACCGGAGAGGATTAAACAAAAGAAAACCACCAGAGCATCTCGTGTGGCTCTCAGGGAGCTGCTGATTTTCCTGCTCTGGCACCGTGCTTTGCATGCATGTGCCTAGAGACGTCTATCCGTTCCCCTCATATCCCGTTCTTAATCGCCTACGGTGATTAAATGCTAATTATTTACGGCCTAATTTTACCTGACTTCAAAGAGGGAGGGAGGGAGGGAGGGAGGGAGGGAAGAAAAGAGGGGAGTTAAAGAGGAAAGGAGGAAGGAAAGAGTGGGAAAAAGAGAGAGGAAGGGAAGGGATAAAGGAGAGGGAGGGAGGG